GTTTTGTGAATAATTTAAATATTTTGAGTAATTTTTTAACAATTTTTTAAGTTTTAAAAAATATTTTTGAACGATTTTATACAGTGGTTATAACCTGATCCCGAACCGAACTTAGAAGAACCGATCCGAATCCGACCTGATAATTAGTAAAACCCGAATGAGACTTATGAACATGGTACCAAAAATATGAAAACCGAAATCAACCAAACCGAATCCGACGGGGACCCCGAACGCCCAGGCCTAGTTTATATCATTGACTTAAAATAATTTAAAAAAAAAAAATTCAGGTGGATAGTTACGAGGAGGGGAAATCCGATTGCCTCCATTTGCGGTGTGGGATGGCCTCATCAGATATTGGGAGTTTTCAGGCTCGATCAGAATCTCTCACACAAACTCTGAGAACCGCATGACAAGAGACGAGCATGGCAACACAAAGATGCTTCACACCGGGGATCGAAAACCTCACGCAGGAATTCGTCTAGACATGGTAAATTAATATTTTTTTAATCTATTTGTTTATTCCTAATTAATATTTAATTTTAGAAATTATTTTAGGCTAAAGAGACAGGAGTTCTTCCATCTCTTATAGACCTTTACAAGATGACCCACCGGAACAAGGCTGGGCATTTTGTAGATCCTAGATCCGAGCGGATCTACAACGAGGTTGTTGCTCGGGTTGACCACCGCCAGACCCAGCTGACTCAGCAATCTAGAACACCCGTCATATTATCCACTCCTGAAGTGGATAAGACTTACGAGGAGATAAATAATTTGTTTTCTTATTAATTTTTATTACTTATTTAATTTATTTTCTAACATTATTAATCTTTTTATTTAAAGGTCGCGCCTAGGAAAAAGGGACGTATCGTCGGGATTGGTTCCGTTAACGATGTCCCCACAACAACGTCGTTGTATGCTCAGGAACAACACGATGTTACTACTCAGCTACGCTCAGAGTTACATGCGATGCAAGCTCACGTAAGTTCTCTCTCCGATATCCTGAACGTTTTGGTTGTTGGAAACCCCCAATTGGCAGAGATGTTGCGTGTCAGACGGGAAAACAGAGGGTTTCCAACCCAACAACATCCACTGTCACAGTCACAATTGATGACCAACATGGACGAGGAGGAGTTGGCGAGCTGGGATGACGACTTCGTTCGTCAATTTAACGAGCACCATCCATAGTTTAGTTTTTTTTTTCTTTTTAATTGTATATATTATGAATTTAAAACTTAAATAGTCAGTTATTTATAAATTATTTTGTCATTTCTTTTTTTTTCTAATTTGGATTTTAATTTTTAAAAATATATTATTTATATTTATTTTATTAATTATTTTTTTAATAGAAAAAACATTTCGAAGTAAATTCCTAGTAAAACATTACGACTCTCTTACGAGGAAATATTTTATTACGATTTTATGAAAACTTATTTTCAAAACCTTTACAAGGAAAGTTGTACGAGGACTTTACGAGGAAATGAGTATCCACGCTTTTACGAGAAAACGTTTCCTCGTAATTTACTAGGAAATTACGAGGAAAAAAACTTTACGACGAACGTGTTACGACAAGATGCGTTTTCTCGTAATTTCCTAGTAAATACTCTTTTACTATAAAATTATGAAGAAAAGTCGTATTAGTAAAACTTGTGTTTTCTTGTAGTGTATATCTAAGGTCCAAATGCATATTTTTGTTGGCTCTTAAGCATCTAACGGATCATATATATATGTTTGCTTTAAAGAAAACATATATGCTTGAAGTCACAACTATAAAGAACTAATTAAATATACGAGGAAACAAGAGAAGGTCCCATGTGGCTATATGGTTGGGGATAGAAGCTGCAGCCAACGATATTTTAAAAGACTGAATGAGACGAAGCAAAGGAGAGTAAATTAGGGAAACAGACAAGCTTAAGCCACCACCCCGAAACACTCCATTATCATTATATGTCGCTCAAGCATGTATAATTGTTTGATATTTTTATTGTCACCGAAATCAAAGTGGACTCCACCATCCCCACCCATAAAAAAAAGATAACGAGAAGCAATAATAAAAGAAAAAATAATCATTGTTAAAATAATATACAGTCAAGATATGTGTTCATTTTCAGGCTTCCTCGTGGAGTTCATGTGCTGCAAGCCTGCATCATGCATGATTCATCTCTGATGTCGAACATCGTATGTATATTCTTTATGCTTATTTATGTATTTGTGAATTAAATTCCAATTTTTTCATGTTCTACTGGAAACTAATGTTTTTATCACAAAAGATCTAAGTTCACTCTAAGTCAAAAAAAAAGATCTAAGTTTACTTACTGTAATGACAACTAATACAGTAAATGTTTCAAGAAACAATGACGAGCTAGGCTTTGTTGTTTAGACGTCCGACTTTGCAGAAGGTAAATAGTTAAATGACTCTTGACATTCTTCACATGTTTGTTATATGTGTGTTTATAAGTTTTCAACTTAAAACTAATAGCAAATTTTAGCAAAAACAAGCTCAAAACTAATAAATATGATCAATAAACTAATTCCTGTTTTGTATATTGATATCTAGTATATCCAATTCTAGAAATAGAATTCCATTAAAAAAAAGTACGAGAGCGAAAAATGTTGACATAAACAAAGTGATCCAAGTAAACGTTGTTGCCGACCCAGAAAGTCAATGAAGTTAGAATCACTATTTCGAATGTGTGTGCAAGCTTATTGTCAAGAGGAATTAAAGTAATAGATACATGAGATAGTTGAACCAATTACCTAAATATAAATAGCAACTGAGTTAAAGAACCCGTCAAAAGATTGTTACATAATCCCTAGGACAACTATTAGCACACAACTACAAGATTAAACACAAACAAGGTGTCAACTGTCAAGAACCATTAGTTATAGTTTTGTGGATCATTCTTTAATGTTTTTTTGCAAGTAATAATCAGCCAAGATTGGCGAGTCAGCTTTACTGAACCAATATTATGTTAATGTGTGTGTGTTCTTTTTTTTTCTTTTTTTGGGATCGACGGCTTCCTAGACTTTAATTAGTATATCATCAGAAAAAAAAAGACAGGAAAGCATGTAATGCACGTATTCTGGCCCGGGAATAAAGACCCATCCAGAATTATATTATGTATTTTGGATCATACATTACGGTGTATGTTGTAATTTTTACTATTAATTAAAGGTAGGAAAGCTGATTTAATCGTATCACTTAACCAAATTTAAGGCTTTTTCTGATTTTAGGCTGACCAATGGTATGGAGTAGAATTTTCCTACACTAACTAAAAGCATGGTCAATAATAATATATGAGTTTCCCTAAAAAACAAAAATAATAGTTGAGTTGGTAGTAATAGTAGGTTGTTCTTATCGTGTGTTAAGTCAAAATTAAGCAAGAAGAAAACTGTGTTGTAATAATTCCAGTTTATATCTTTCGGCAGAAAAGAGAGATTGTTAATACTTAAGAGAAAATCAAGAAATCAAAGTTCTCTTTCTGCTTCACTTTATTTTCATTTTGCGGAAATGTTTTCTTTGATTTCGGAAAGTTTGTGGGAGGCCAATCACAGTATCATTCTCCCATCAGCAATAAACCGATACATCAATTATCATATCCTTAAAACACTAGTATAATATTAGAAAACTAAGTGATAGGCATGAGATTTTTTAAGGTTGGATACATCTACAATAGTATACGAAACGCGTGTATGTGTACACATACCATTCAAGTAGATATATACAAAAACAATTCTCTTTAATTGTCAACCTTACGACAGACATCTCATGTTCTTTTTGGTCAGTGACATGTCATGTTTATCCATGTGTTAACTAGTCGACTAAGATTTTGATTTACATAATCTCCTTTATAATTTATGAAATTAATTTTTAGAAGAAACCTTTAAACTGTAATGTAAATGAATAAAAGTAGTGGGAAATGGGGTGGAATAACTTGCAAGCGAAGAATCACTTCCCGTTCCCCGTTCTGCCAAGTGGGTTCTGAGATGGAGCCAAATGTTACATTGACAATTCAACTAATTATAATAGGCCACGTGTCTTTGCCACGTCACGTTACCGGCATTGTAGTTGAGAAAAATCCATCTGGTTTGGTTCTATCTGGTTTCGGCACCGTTATAGAAACCCATCGGAAAAAAAACTTATGTATAAAAGGGTAAAATCGGTATTTGCATAATATATCGAGAGAGTACACAGCAAACCTAAATATACGCGCAAAAAACTTATGTATAAAAGGGTAAAATCGGTATTTGCATAATATATCGAGAGAGTACACAGCAAACCTAAATATACGCGATTTTCACGACGGTAAGTCGTGGTGTGACACCATATCTTATAATAAATTACGTTGATACCCCTCTCTACCAGTATAGTATTCAATTTTTTCTATTGTACGCTGTTGTTATGTTTTTTCTTCCTAAAAAAGCTGTTTTTTTGGTGCAACGTATTTTCCTATATGGAATCGTTGTTCAAAAAAAAAAAACCATATGAAATCACGAAAATGTTCAACGTACCCAGAGAAAGAGACGCGACTTGTGCATGTAACCATAAATGGCAAAAAATACAACGGTACAGACTCTATACCCGAATCAAAAACGTCTAAAACACGTTTTCACATTCAATGCCTATTAACACACACACAAAAAGGGGATAAAATCCATCATGAATAATCTGGGGGACCGCAAGTTGAAAGGGTAGTCCCGTAAACTCAATCGCGACACGTGCCAGAATACGGTTTTAACCCTATCACGTGTTCGTAGAGTATGTCCCACTAAACGTACTTGCTCGCCATTAGTATTACCCCCGTCGTTAGTAGCCTAGTAGTGTAGGCCCCACACTCACTCCTCCCTGTACGCTGTATTCATAAGCGCGTGGAGTCCATTTCGAAAAGAAGGCGCGTGGAAAACGAAACCTCTCTCCCCCACCATCACCACTTCATCTTCTTCCCTTTATTCGCCTACAAATACCTGAAACTGGGTCCTTTTTTTATTATCAAGACTCATTATTGAAACTTAACGAAGCAGTAACCTCCTTACTCGATTAGACTTGTGAAAAGAAAGCCATGGAACCTACTAGCTTTATCGACGACGCGGAGTTCTGGCTTCCGCCGGAGTTTCTCTCCGACGATGACTTCACCGTGGAGAAGGAGAGTTTCTTAGCCGGATTGAGCCGCAAAATGGTTCAGTCTTCTCTTGAAGATGATTTCTCCGGCGCAAAGGTAATGATGACTCAACCTACATCATCATCATCAGCTTCTCTTCTCTGTTTCCGTTTGATTAACTCTCTAACTGTTGCTTATGGTGTTTGTTTCAGGCGTGGAGTAAGACGGCTCGTTCACCTCAATCGATTCCGCGAGTTTCGTCTCAGGCGGTGGAGGCGGAGGCATGGGATATGTACTTTGCTGCGGCGGAGGAACTGTCGATGATGAATCTTAACGGTTATAACAACCTCAATAATGGCAGAGGACTTCTTGATCTCCCCAGAAAACATCCTAACGACGGCTCTGGCTTCTACAGCCGTCAATCTCTACAATACCAGAAGCTTCAAGCTATTCATGTAAATCAAATCACATACCTCTCAGAGTATCTTCTTGAACATTTGAATTTTTTTTTTTTTTTGGGTGCTGATTTTTTTTTTTTTTGTGTGCAGTTTCAGCAGCTAAAGCAGCAACAGTTGATGAAACACCATCGTCAATTAGCGCAGCAGAGAGTGAATAATAATCACATAAAAGGTTCTGGTCATGTGGATTTGGCTCCATCTGCATGGCCACAGAGGCGTTCTGTTTTCCTTGGTGACCGTACCGGGAAACGTGGTTCAACCGGAACCGGTGTTTTCTTGCCTCGTAGCGTTAACCAAACTTCCCCTGTAACCGCCGAGACTCGCCAGAAGCACAGTATGTTCTAAAGATTTTTAATTCTTAACCGTCCAATTTTTCTTGGTTCAAGAATCTTTTCTAATTAGAAAATTTGTTAACTCTTTCGGTTTAGCTCTTGGTACGGTTCTGGTTCCGGCTAGAGTGGCGCAGGTTCTTAACCTACACGAGTCTATGGGTCACCAGCCAGCGGTGCGGTCTTCGGCTAGTCTCAACGGTATAACAAAAAAATTTAAACAACTGTTAATGACTTTATTACTGATTTAATTTAACTAAATAGTCTATAATATCATTTGCTTAATTTTTTGTTAATTTTTTGGTTAATTAACAGATGTGTCATGGAGACAGAGGAGCAACAATGGTGGATACTCGAGCCAGATGAAGATAGAACATGCAGTGAGCGAGCCTCGGTTACCTTCGGAGTGGGCTTATTGACCACTTTTTGGGCCTTTTAGGAAAGATTTGAAGAAAAGTGAAGGGAGGAATAAAGATTATATTTTGATGCAAGGTCAGCGTAGTGAAGTAGTGGCAGAATTAGGGTTTATAATAGATAAAGAGAGGATAAAGATGAAGGAAGATGTGGACAAGGACGAGGTTTTGGATCGTTTAACCACCATTCTGATGATCATTAGTAGAAGAACAAAAGGAATTTAATAATATCAGTCTGTAACCGGGCTGTTGTTTTAGCATCCCCTTCTCTTTTTCACTTTCTTTTGTTCTACAAGCTCTTAAGCAATAGAGAAAGTATTAGTAAAAATAAAGGATTGTTTAATAATTTTGTTTGCCAATATTATTAGATGCATTTCCGAAAAAAATTTGCATGCAGAACCATACTAATAATTTATGTTGTGGATAAGAAAAGCTCACGAATTAAGATTTTAAGAAAATGGTATAAAAAGGCGTGTTCCAAAAAATATACTACTGCATAAAAAGGTAGACGCAAACCGGCTTAAGAGGAAATTATACCATTCTAATCATGTCTTGCAAATAAATTTCACACGGAAAGAACTTTGCAAATATCTTAAATATAAATATGTTGGTAATAAATAACTTACCACTTGAGGGACAACTACTGACACAGAGCAGTAACAGCGGAAAAATAAGAGGCGATTCTATGATGTCCATAAACCTAACTGCTTTGTTCTGGTTATATTCGCCTAACGAGCCTTTTCATTAGCTCCGTTAACAATAGTGCTCCTATGATCCTATCATATTGCTACTCTACTATAGTAGTACGAGTATTTTGAGAAAGCAGAATTGTTATTAGTAGTTCAATTACTATTTCGTACTACTATCCAGAAGCGCACGAACAGTTTGGGAACTGTATTTGATTTAATGCTGGTGTCTTCTTTGTGGAGAAACGTGCAGACTTTGTCCTAGCCCATTTGGTATCACAAAAAGTAAACATGTTGTCGTCAGATTAATTATTGCCAATTTCTCTGATATCGAAATTTGTTTTGTCTAATGGTAGCTGTTTTTCGTTGTCTTGATTTTCTCCATAATGTTGATTTGTTTTAATGACATCTACTAAATGATTATGTCTTACCTTTAGTTATAACTACAGTCACATCTTTTAAACTAAAATCATAACCGTAATATTGTTTGCTAAAGCTCAAGTATGAAGTATCTATCTACAACTTTACGATGTCTGATTCTTTTCTGCGCCTTAATAATACTCCTACTATACTTTATCTTGGCTCTACTTCAACAGTAATTTATTTGGCATTTTGTTTTTGTGTGAAGATGTACCAAGCACAAACCAAATTCTGCACATTTTGATGTAAAACGCTTAGATATTATACACCATTTTGTAATTAGCCCAACCAAAAAAATACACATAATATTGGCTAAGAGCATATAGCCTTTCTTACAATACAAGACAACATATAACCAACCTATCGTAACCTTCTCTCGTTTCCTTCCCAGTTTAACGAGTTTTAAGCAAATCCAAATGACAATTAATCTTGTTGTGGTCTCAAATCAAATACCATCAAATAATCCCACACAAAACACTAAAGAAGAGGCAAACTCTTCACATATGTTTTAGCTCCTCTCAACTTCTGCAGCCAAGGTCTAATTAAACCACTCCGGTCAATCTGTTCGAGCTAAGCCTCTTCGACCAAATCCGGCGTCCGGATTCACATTAGATTGGGAAACCATCTTTTTGTCTTTGTTTTGCTGAAGATGGGACCCACATGTTGGATGTTGCTGTTCTGTACTTTGACTGCTCCACGCCGTTCGTTTTCTAGTGATATTGTAAATGTTTGTATATAAGTTAACGAAATTCATTGATCAGAAAAAAAAAAAAAAGTTAACGAAAGTCACTTGCATTTTCACATGATTCCGGATTGTGATTTTTTTGGACGGAAAACAAAACAATAGTATATGGTTGTTTTGAAGAAAATAACGCGCATATACATGCATGTTTAGTCTATGTATTCACATTTAGATTTTCGGAATTTACAATCTCGAAGTATTCATGTTTCTTTTAAAGTATTCCTTGTATTCTTATACTCCGAAACCACATAAAAGGTAACATTAGCGAATACGTAAGCAAACGGTGATAAATGGTAATAAATGCTAAGAGCCAAAAACAACTCGGTGTATGATAAACAAATCAGTGGTAAATGCGCGTTTTAACGAAGATTACGATGTCTAATATAGTATAGTTTGGATTATTTTGTAAAAAAGACAAAAAGTGTATTTGAATGGTTGATTATAATATAGACAATGAAAATATTAATGAGTTTGAAGTTGCTCCACTTAGATTGCAAGAGAATGCAGTAACAAAAAGATTGCAAGAGAATGAATTAGCTAGATTCCAAAATAATCTAATACCTGTTGACAAAAAAAAATCCAATACCTATGACTATATTATACCTACTAGATTTCTATCACTATATTATACCTACTACTCTCGTAAAACAATCTATAAAACAGGTTGACATACTTGCAACTACCGGTTTTGCTCTTTAGTCGGTTTTGTATTGTATTCTAAATGCTCAGTGAGAAAAATGAACAACAATAATTGAGAAACATGGGTTGGGTAAGGTTCTCACATGCAAAAAATTTCAACGGTCCAACATATTTGCTCAACTAACAACCACCAACTCATTACCAAATTTGGTGTTCATGAACCGATTATTATGATATATCATCCGGTTTAGTTTCTTGTTGGCAACAACAAATAGTCGTTGAAGCTCCTAAGAACTATCAATGCTAGGGCAACATTTAGGTGCATGTAAACTGGTTCTTGTTTACCATATTGACCATAATTAAAACTGTAACCATTTTCAAAACTAAAGCAAACAAAATCGGTTTTCCGTAAAGGGAGTTTAATCTAATACAACTAGATGCCTGTTTAGCATTAAAGCTCATCAAGAATTCTCAAGCAAAGCTGATCAACATCCATACTACTCACAAGGTAAACCCGAGAAGCATTTGGTACACTAAGCAAGAACCTGAGTTCTACCGTAATCGCCACAAGACTTGTGATGGAAACGTTTGTTGTCTCTCACAATCAACTCCCTGTCTCCCTACCAATGATTTTAGACATGATCTTAATAAAGTTGTGACAATCATTGTCAGGGACTTCCTAGGCTGGGTGTACTTATGACACCATAAGCAATCGCCAACCTCTCACTGTGGTAGAGCAGTGCCTCTCTTTGGCCTCTTCGTCGATGTCATGCAGAACACACCTTGTGTTAACATAAACCACTCCTTTTTTTTCCTCCTTGGCTTCATCCTAATAATAAGAGTCAGATTCTGAAACTCAAGGATCCTACTCTTATTAGCAATTATACTTACATCCTTGCACTGGCGGAGCCAGACAAACTTTTTAGGAGGGTCAAACTCAAGATTTGTTTGTTTTATAAGGGTCAATAAGTTATTTTTGCAGTATTTTTTCTTAAATACAAATACATACTTTTTACGTATATAAATTTCACATGGGTCAATTGACCCATATGCTAAAGGAAACGTTTGTTGTCTGATTTGGTTGGAGATCTTGTGGCTTCAACAAGATAACTTTATTTGCCAAGAACATGTCAAGTAATGCTCTCTCCTTGTACTTAAACTAATCCCATACTTGTTCTGCAGAAATGCAATACGATTCTTTTACACCACCTTGGACGGCTCCAAGCATGTTTGGTTTCAAACCATGCTTTATCAACATCTTCTCCAACAAACGAATCATCTCCCATTCCGTTACCGGTCCACAGTACATACGCATTATCAAATGCCAAGAATCTATGTTCTTGTCCACGAGATGATAAAACACTCTCTTTAGGGCATCTCCAACTCCACTCTATTTTTAACACTAAAATAGAGTTTAGAGTAAATTTGCTTCATTGGTACTATATTTTTCACTCTATAATAGAGTAAAAAATAGGTTTACATTAAATATAGAGTAATTTTTTTTTTCTGTTTAGGGCATCTCCAATGGCTACCTATTTTTTCCTCTATTATCTTATTATATAAAATAGACTTTTCTCTCATATAAGAATGCCATGTCACTAATTCATTTTTTCTCAACATGACATGTGTCATAATTTTTGGTTAATCTTTTGGCTTTTCGTTTGTTTGTCGATTCATTTTTAATTAAGGATTTTATGGCATCATTCAATGAATCCCATTTTTCTACCTATGTACTGCAATTTTACTGCAATCTGTATCCCTAAAAATATTATATATAGTGTTTTGGTTAATCAAAAGTATCTGAGAAATCTCTACATCTAGCGTTTATTTTGTTCACCGAGGTTTCTTAAGAAGATACCTCAGATACTTTTGATTAACCAAAATGTCTTTGGCATCATCTAATGATGAATAAAGTGAATCACAACTGAAGATTAGATAAAAAAGTCGTATTGTGGCCTTGATTGACGCCAACTCGGTTGTACACATAAAAAATCCGAAAACGATTCCTAGGATTCCTCACAGGAGGAGAGCCACCGCGAATAGTCGACATAACCCATCGATTGAATATAAAAAAATGTATAAATGGCTTTACAATGATATGATCAGAGATTTTGTTAACTTTATTGAATAAATTTATTTAATACTAACATTTAAATTCAAACCCAGTTCAAAGAAATACTAAAAATCAACAATTATTGGTTCTGGATTACTAAGAGTAATAAATCTTATAGTTCTGTTAATGGAAAATAATAATTCTTAAAGTTAGAAATACAAAGTAACAAATGCGGGTTTTATAGCTCGATCTCTTTCACTAATAGTCATTCATTTCTTTTGCAAACTATAGTTTCTTCTTAAGGTATGTATTTATTAAGAAAATCAAATTAAATAATGTATCTCATTAAAACTATATATTACTCCCTACGTTTCTTATTGTAAATAGTATTAAGAATTTTTTTTTTTCAAAATATAGGTAACTTTCTTACATCTAGGTAATTTTTGCATGTACTAGATATAATATGACCAATCAAATAATTTCTATTTTTATAATTAGTATATTTTATTAATTAAATACTATGTTCTACAAAATATGAACTTTATTAATATTAATGCTTTTATTTTAAACTATTGTTCAAATGGAAGAAATAATAGTGTATGTGAGTGTTTAGAAAAATCTCAGTGACAAAAAAAAATTTAGTTTATCGTATTTTGTTAACTTTTAGTAAAACCTTAAAAACCCTGAGAATAAGAAAAAAAATAACAAAACATGCCACTTGGATTTCAATTCAAATTAGCAGTTTTTTTACCTCTTCCAATAAAACATGAACACTATCATCATACAACATTAAGTAAATAAGTATTTTTGTATTTAATTCGATTAGCTCGAAACTTATGAATTTGGGTGGTCCTATACATGTTGCCCTTTAAAA